CGCTGCGTAACGACTCAAACCGTCACACAACCCATGATCAAAAGGTTAGCATCGCGTTAGCTAGCGGTAGTCACACGGCCGTCAGCCAAACCGTTTTTTCGCGCGATTATTTAGGGGTCGGATTTGGCCATAGATCCCAATTTACGCTATCCACCCGCCGCCTCTTCGTCAACGCCATATTTGATCCGAAGAGCAGCCTCCCGAGGACGCACTCCGCCGGCTAGCAGTTAGGCACAGTTCCCAGGCCGCGCAATTGTGTAAACACTAACTGCTGCGTTGGCATGGCTAGCTAAATTGGCTAGCGAGAATTCAACCGGTGCCCCCCCCCCCTTTTCCACCGCCTCCCTCCACACCCCCCCCCCTTGTACGACCGCCTATACGCGCGAAGGAGGGACGTTGCAGGCTGGTGGATTGAATCCTGCGTTTGATACGTTTTTGCTGTAGTATTGGGGCGGAGCGGCGAGCGGAACATAGGCTAACTTTTTCAAAACGCATCAGTCGGTGGAGTTTTCCACTTTTCCCTCGGCATCAGCGCTCTCGACAGCCAGGTCATCACGCGGAAGACTTCCTCTTAGTTATACCCTCGGTTACCGGTAGTGTACGAGGATTCACTTTGTTCGGCCTGTACACGCCTGTGCCCTCACTGTGCCCCACTGTCGCCTCACTGTGCCCTCACTGTGCCCTCACTGTCGCCTCAGTTGTGCCATCATGTGCCTCACTGTCGCCTCACTGTGCCTCACTTTGTCGCCTTTTCACTGTGCCCTCACTGTGCTTCACTGGTCGCTCCACTGTGCCTCACTGTGCCCTCACTGTCGCCTCACCTGTGCCCTCACTGTGCTCCTCACTGTCGGCCTCACTGTGCCTCACTGTGCTCATTGTCGCCTCCAGTGCCCTCCTGTCGCCCCTCACTGCTGCCCTCCCTGGTCGCCTTACTGTTCGCCTCACTAGTGCCCTCCACTGTGCCTCCACTGTCGCCTCAATGTGCCCTCACTGTCGCCTTCACTTGTGCCCCTCACTGTTTGCCCTCACTGTCGCCTCAATGTGCCCTCACTCTGGTGCCCTCACTTGTGCCCCTCACTGTGCCCTCACTTCGCTCACTGTGCCCTCACTGTCGCCTCACTGTGCCCTCACTTGTGCCCTCACTTGTGCCCTCACTTGTGCCCTCACTTGCCTCACTGTCGCCTGCACTGTCGCCCTCACTGTCGCCTCACTGTCGCTCACTGTGGCCTCACTGTCGCCTCACTGTCGCTCACTGTGCCCTCACTGTGCCCTCACTGTCGCCTTCACTGGTGCCCTCACTGTTGCCCTCACTGTCGCCTACTTGTCGCCTCACTGTGCCTCATGCGGCCAATCACTTTTGTGCCCTCACTGTGCCCTCACTGTGCCTTCACTGTCGCCTCACTTGTGCCCTTCACTGTACTGCCCTCACTGTCGCCTCACTGTGCCCTCACTGTGCCCTCACTGACAACACTTTATCAATTAAGAAGCTATTATCTTATCAAGGGAGCACTGCTCGGGTCAGTGTGCAATACGCTGGCTTATTGTGTCATTCTTTGTGATAATTTACAACTTCTTTAATACTACACTCTTTAAAAACTCACAACTATTACTCGTTTAATTTCTGTCGGTCACATATTGTGGCATACATTTACTTTTGTTGTCTATATTCTCATATATTGTATATGTTTTATTATAAAGTACATACTAGGCTCTTATTATATATATATAATTGTTTTTACTTATATGTATATACCTATATAAACTGTACATTTTATCTTTTATATATATAGTTATATATATATTTATATATTTGTTCTTAATATATGTTGTTTGTATATCTGGAGTTTGTCATGCCAATAATTTCCCCCTGGGATTATTAAAGTATTTCTGATTCTGATGATTCTGATTATATATACATTTATATTTCTATATATATTGTGTTAGATATTGTAATATAATAGTGTTTATATTCTTTAACATTTTGTATGCATCTTGAGCAACTGTAACAAACCCCCGGGGGATCAATAAAGTATTTTTGATTCTGATAGCAATTAATTAATTATTTATTTCAAGATGAATAGAATAACGATGGAGTCTTTTCATCAGCTTTTGTTCCTTTTGTGTTATGTTAAATAAATAAATATTATACTACTATAATATAATAATATTATTTTCAATAAACAGGGTTGTCTAAGAAATTAAATGCTTGACATGGAAATACAATATTTACTTTGTAAACTACTCTTGGTAAAATGCCCTGTGTTTCACCTGTCAGGCAGCACTTAACCCCGGGTACCCTAACAAGCTCTACCGATTAAATTATTATATTCCTGTGTATACTTTGCAGGGCTATAGCATTGTTTGGGATTGAGAACATCCAACAAGCAAGAAAAGTCCCCATTTGAGAGGAACTTCTTCCTGACAAGCTAAACTCAGGGCAAAGAGATCCTCTCCACTTGACTTTCAGCTTACAGGCGACGATGAACTACTTCCCCTCCAGGTCCCGCCCACCCGCTCTGACTACGAATTCCTTCTTTCCTATTGGCTGTTCGAGCTCGCCCCCCGTTCGCTATTGGCTCAAATCTCTGCCTCTCATCTCCGCCCCTTGTCACCCGAGAACACGCAAGGGGCAATGATGGCGGCTTTCAGTGTGGCTCGAAGCAGCTGCGGATTGATAAACGGGTTGAGGACATCTTTCAGGAGCTTGGCGCCGGTGAAACATGGCGCCGTCGCTGCTGTGGTGCCGCAGACGAACCTACGACGGGACTGTCGCTGGTATTCCGTCAGCCATTTGTCTGTTAAGGAGAGGATTGACAAGAAACGGACGGCGGCGCTGGTCGGGGGAGGTCAGAAGAGAATAGATGCACAACACAAAAAGGTAAAGTCAGCTGATATATTTACTCTCTTTCTTCTCTTTAACCTGCTTTTACACAAGCATGTGCGAGGTTTTTTTTCCATAACTTAAAGCCTCAAATAGACCGACAGCTGGATTGGTTGAGGTGTGTAATGCCTGGCTCAAGGGCTCTGAATCAGTGGTGGCTGCTGGAGCTGCAGTGTTGTTGGTTTTTTTTGCCCCCTCACACACTTATTAGTGACATTTAAAAACTTCCTTGCTAGTGGCACTTAGAGATACTTTGAGGAATGCCTTATGCTTTGGAAAACAGCCATCTTGTTGATCTCCTGTGCCCTTGAGCAAGGCAACTGTTTATGAAATACTAGAAGATGCCATCTGAAACTGTCAGCCCAATGTGATGGAGAAACATGAGACAACTTGACTTGACTTTCCTTACCTGTATTATGATATATTTTCAGTATAATAATAATAAAGTTCTTTGGTTATCATCAATCTGTTTTGTATATGAAATCCATGGATGTAGGCAGTATACATACAGAAATGGGTGATAATGATTAAACACTGAAGATATATGATGATATTAAAGTACAGTATATGTTGATATAGTCATTTTTAATGATATACAACATTGGCTTCAATAGCCACAAATACAACAAGAGCTAAAGAGATAGCTACCGCAGTATAAAGGGTCTGCTGGTTAAAGTGTTCTCTCAGGTACATGTAACTTGGTGTTATGTGTTGCAGGGTAAGCTGACAGCCAGGGAGCGAGTGGAGCTTCTGCTGGACCCCGAGTCCTTCGTGGAGTCGGACATGTTCGTGGAGCACCGCTGCTCCGACTTCGGCATGGAGCAGGATAGTAACAAGGTAACAGGTCGTACACAAGCCAGTGACGTCTGCAACATCATGTTTATCCACTTGCTTCTTCTCGGGGTTTGAAGTGTTTATCCTCGTAGTATCTTTTTCTCTCTCCTGTCTTAGTTCCCGGGTGACAGCGTTGTGACAGGCCGAGGCAGGATCAATGGCAGGCTGGTTTACGTGTTCAGTCAGGTACGATGTTTACTTTAAGAATCCTACATTGTGGCAGTAGACAACAGCATGGTTTCACCTGTTTAATATTCTTCGTCTTGCTCTTTTGTGGTCAGGACTTCACAGTGTTTGGAGGCAGTCTGTCTGGAGCTCATGCACAGAAGATCTGTAAGGTAAACACAGCTGAGATACTGAGGAGCGCATGTATCAATGCCTGAACAGTGCTGTTAAACATGTCTTTTC